TTCAGAGTATCAGTTATCTAGCATTTTTTATAGCTTAATGGTATTCTTTAAAAATGAGTAATGACACAAATATCTGAGTACCTCCTACATCAACAAAGCTGAAATAAGTTACATATTGCTTTAAACAACTTTCTATCTACATTTACTCAGACCATCAAATGATTCTTGCCTAATCATTTATGTATGTCTCACAATTTATTTCGCTTAGAAATTCTGTCAATCAATGTTTCTTTGGGTTATGGTGGTACTTAAAATGTTCGTACTGGGGTACACTGGAAAGTATGTTTGGGACAGGTCAGAACTGGGCTGGAAGTCCAGTCCTATCCTATAGTAACTGTGGGTTTATACTCATAGATTTTGAGCTTATAATATTAACCTGGTCCTCAATGTCTGTATTTGCCAATAATGTGAACATGAGCAACTGTTATCTACTGAGAGAGATACTATAGGATTAAGACTATGGAATCTGGACCTATACTGGGTGGCAGATAGCACTATACTCTCTAGGTAAGGATGCTACAGTCCCGTAATCCTTCTAGCCACTACTTCTCAGTAAGTTAACAACACTAAAATTTGCCTCATAGAGGTGCTGCGAAGATTAGAGTTAATCATATATGATAATTAAGTGCCTAATACCTAATGTTGTTGTTAAGTGCCGTTGAGTCGGTTCCGACCCATAGCAACCCTGTATAGAGTTTCCAAAGAGCAGATGGTGAGCTTGAACCACCGACCTTGTAGTTCAAATGGCTGTGAAGTCTGGTGCATTAACCCACAGCGCCACAGCCTTATAAGGCCATAGAAATAATTTGTTCTGGCCCTGCCAAGGCAACCACAGTTCCAGACATGACATTGCTGTTGTTAAGAGCCACTGAGTCCATTCCATGGGTGACCCTGCTGGTATTTAAAATCCCTGTGGCATAGCTTCCAGAATCACAGCAACATGCAAGCCACCACAGTACTACAAACTGACAAAAGATTGGTGGTTGGATCAAGCTACAGCAGGCTAATTTTTAAATTGATAATTTAAATTTGCGTTGCCTGTGAATGATGTTAAATTTTGACAGAAAAAAAGGTTCCCTAAGGAGCACCTGTAGCATAGTGGTTACGAATCAGGCTGTTAACCTCAAGGTTGGCAGTTCGAAACTACCAGCTGTCTGTGGGAGAAAGATGAGGCTTTCTGCTCCCATAAAGATTTATAGTCTTGGAAACCCTGTACAGGGTCACTGCCTTACAACAAAATGTGCAAAGATTTGGAATCAGAAAACCAAAAAGGAAGAACATGATCAGCATTTCTCAAGCTGGGGGAACTAAAGAAAAAACTCAAGCCTAGACTTTTGTTATTGAAAGATTATCTGGGCAAATTATTGAATGATGCAGAAAGCATCAAGAGAAGATGGGAGGACTACACAGTCACCATACAAAAAGGAAATGGTTAATGTGCAACCGTTTCAAGAGGTAGTGTATGATCAAGAGCCAATGATATTGAAGGAGGAGTCCAAGGTGCATTGAAGGAATTGTCAAAGAACAAGGCACCAGGAATTGATGGAATAAAAATGTAAATCTTTCAAGAAAGTGAGGTGGCACAGGAGGCAATCAC